GATAAAAGGAAAGAGATTGGGTAGATAGAAAAAGAAAAAAGCAGTCTGTTAAGTTTGAAAAATGATGGCCTAGGTTAAGTATATACCCACAGAAGAATGCTTTTATTTCCGTGCATGTGCCCTCCTGAGCTCTCCCTTTAACTGTAACTGAGGATGGGCCCCAGGGGAATGTTTGTAAAGGCTCTTTTGAGGTCTTTGGAAAGCGATGCTATATAAAGCCAAAGAATTATTACCCAGTTCTATGTATATAACAGAGAGAGAGAGAGAGCTTGCATACTTCCAGATGTACGCATCTCCCCCTCATTCTCATCCAGTCCTCCTTCCTATTTAATTTGGAAAAGGAAGTTGAGATCAGTTTACCTGAAGATAATTTGCCCTCCCTCTCCCCAGGGCCTTTAATGGCCAAAGGTGGGAAGGCTCAACTTAATATAGTACTTAATATAGCAGCCTCTGACGCCCATGGTCATTGCGTGAATGGGTGAAGGTTATCTGTTGCAAGTGCCTGTGTTGTGTTTGGGTCCCTGGGGGCGGAGCTTGGTCCCTGGTCTGCCGACCCGTTTGAAATCAGGGATTCACCGTTGATTCACATGGTGGGTGCCGAGTAGGAGGGGAATGGTGTGGCAGGCTTGTCCAGTTTTAGGTCATGGTAATGCTTTCTGCCCCCTCCCTTCCATGTGTATCTATTCCCAGACACAGACTGGAAACAAGCTCCGTTTGAGTCTGACTCCCTGTCACCGGGACAGGAAATTACAGCTGTGAACCCGGTGGTTAGCATTCTCTGGTGCGGCCTTGGACTTACTATTAAGCGCAGCTGACATTCTGCCCAGCCCATCTCATGCTCAGTTCCTGCCGACGAGGGGCACATTTTCCCAGTGGGTGCCAGTCATTCACTCGTTTGTTAGTTCACTTGTTCACCCAGGCTTGACTCCTCTCCTGTGCACTCTGTCTTCTCAAGGAACTCATAGGTGTGGGGGTGGGGCTTCGGTTGCCAGGCCTGCAGAGGAACCGGTATATACATGGTGGGTGGGAGCTTGGGCAAAGTGGGGTCCAGTGAGCTCTCCTGGGCTTGTTCTGCTGTGAGGACACGGTCTCACTCACGAGGGCAGAGAGTGTCGACGGGCTCCCAGGTGCCTGGGGGGAGTCTGGTGGAAGCCAGGATGGCTAGTCGCCTGCTAGTCCTGTGGTCACATGGTCTCAAGTGTCACCCTCAGAGAGCTGTTTTGGCTATATTTGTGCCAAAAGAAACCAAGTCAGCCAAAGGCTAGTTTACCTAATCGACAGGGGTGCTTTTCAGAGTCTGGGTGCCTCGGTGCTGTTGCCCCAGGGTCAGGCCCATGTTTGACATTTAAGACGCCAGCCAGGCACTTTCTCTGCCAGGTGGGCTCCCCTGAGAGGTTTCACCAACTACTGTCTTTGCTGGGCTTCTGCCCTGTGCCTGCTCCTCATTTGTCGCTGCCTCTGCGTTTGGTGATAGAAGAGCCCTGGCAAACTGTCCTCGGCCTGCCTTTCAGCAGGTGGATTTTGGTGGAGTGATGTGAACTGTGCTCTTGGGCGAGATGCACCAGCCCCCACCCTCCTCCATCTCTAGCATAGACTTGGCCCATCCCAAACTTCTAGAAGACTCTATATCAGTGGTTCTCAACCTTCCTAATGCCGTGACCCTTTAATACAGTTCCTCAGGTTGTGGTGACCCCCAATTTCATTGTTACAAATTGAACAAAATTAAAGCATAGTGATTAATCACAAAGACAATATGTAATTATATATGTGTTTTCCGATGGTCTTAGGCAACCCCTGTGAAAGGGTCGTTTGACCCCCAAAGGGGTCACGACCCACAGGTTGAGAACCGCTGCTCTATATGGTTGGTTTAGTTTGACTCATCTAACCCCTCTGGGTCCCACTTGCTGCAGCAGGGGGAAGGTGGGAATTAGAGGTTGCTGGGGACAGAGGAGGGGCATGAATAAGACAGGACAGGCCTGCTGGCTCCCATATCTGCCACAGCCAGTGGGCCAAGGTGTCACAGAAGTGATCCCGACCTGAAACTTGAAGGAGGCTCCAAGTAGGGGAGGCAGCCAGGCCTCCTACATGCTGGGAACAGCCTGTGCAAAGGCACAAAAGAGGGGGAGCGGGGTTGATGGGGTGGGAGACTAGCGGGAGGAGCGGAGGAGACAGCGGGGCGGAGCCAGTGGAGGGCTGTGGTGCACATGGGCTGGAGCTCTGGTGTCCGCAGGGTGAGCCCTGGGTGTAGGTGCAGCGCCTCTGGAGGAGGAAGATCCAGGCAAGAAGGCTGAGCAGGGCAGCCAGAGGGACCAGAGGCAGGGCTGAGGGGTCTTGGGAGAGGTGTGGAGGGATCCACAGTGCCTGGGCAGCAGCTGCTCAACTGCCAATTCCCTGTCTATTAAAGCCTGGTCTACAGTCTCCTGTTGGCAGCTAGCCAGTGGTCCTGCCCAGTGGCCCTGCCATTGGCCGAATGTCTGGCAGGCCCAGGGCCTCCCCACAGAGAGCCACCCCCCTGAACTGGAGAGGGACAGCAGTGTGTGTGGGGCTCAGGGGGGTAAGAGCTTCTGGATGTTCCCCTAAGACAGGCTGGTAAACCCTTCCTGTAAAGGCCTGATGGGAAATATTTTAGGCAGTGCAGGCCCCTCGCTCTTTGTTACCACAGCTCAGCTTTGCATTGTGGCATGAGAGCAGCCACAGACAACTGAAAACGTGGCTGTCTTCGGGAAACTGCTGCCGACCCCTCCCTGTCCCACGTGGTCGGCAATATTAGCACCATATTTTCAGCTGAGGGAACTGAGAAGCAAAGAGATGGCCATTTGCCCAGGTCGTCAAGGTGAGACGTGGGAGGTCTGGGATTTGATTAGAAAACCTGTTTGCTGCCCTGATGTTATTTTTGTTAGGTTGGCCCTTGATGTGCAGAAGTTATTTCCTTAATGGACTTGTTCTTTGCTTTGTGGTAAGAAAGGCCTCTGCTGCCCCAAGATGGGATCAGTGTTTGTCCACATAGTCCTAGAGCTTTAATTGCTGCTTTTCACATATTTAAATTACTCTGTTTGAATTTATTTTGATACATAGCAGAAGCAGAGATTTAAGTCTTGTTTCTTGCTCCCAAAATGGTTTCTTGCCCTGGCAACATTTATGGAGGAATCCATCTTTCCCACAGGGATTTGAAATGCTGCTCTTTATCCCTTATCGACTGCTTACAGTTAAAATTAACATTATCCTGTGGCCTTGACCAGATTGGCTGTTCGGTTCACTGAGGCCAAGTCAGGAATGGAATTTGAGATGGGTGGTCCTTTGCACTTCAACCTGGGAGGCTGCCATGCAGCAGCCCTGCTCTGCTGTCACTTGCAGTGTGTGCTGTGGCAGGTAATGAAGAGGAAGGAAATCACAGTGATAGACTAAACAGATAATGGGATGTATGGTGCTGGGACGAGAGAAAATTACAAGTTAGGCAGGGCCTCTGCCAGTGAGTGTCGCCGGCTTGGAGAAATATATTTATGTAATATAAGGAGATCAACCCAAACGTCACCTCCTGGCTCTACAGCAAAGTGAATGCATATAAAGTTAAAGTCTATTGAAACTGTGTGGGTTTTTTGGGTGGGGGAATACCAGGTCTTGAACCATTTCCTTTCCCCGCATTACCACCAGTGTCCAAAGGCTGCGTGGGGGAAGGCAGAAGGGGTAGTCGTCTGACTGCCTTATTCCTGTGATGTCCCCCCTCCCTCTAAGATTCCTAGTATCAGAATATTGTTTTATTTGTGTCCTCAGTCATGTTGATGTTGAAGCAAATACAGGTCCGTGGTCATGGAGGCTGGAAATGCACAGCGTGGAAGGGAAGGGTTCTACCAGCATGATGGTGTGGATTGGGTCAGTGTTGGTCATTGCTATTTCTGTGGCTTCTGTGGTTCAGTGCCATAAATTTCTTAGGTGTATATAAAGCATTAAATGAGATAGTGCCAGTAGGGGCTTTGAACGGAGCTATACTAGTACTTGTATAAGGGTTCAGATTTTAGCTAAAAGGTAGTAACCAACAATCCATACCTTTTTTCTAAAGAGGATTTGAAGCAGCATATTAAAACAGATAAGAAGGAAATTGAGGCCAGTGGTAGGCGAATTGACACAAGTGGACATACAGGCTGGAGAAGATCAGAGCGGGGTCAGGGCACATCCTGGTTGGCACATGGCTGAGTACACTCACTAGATGCATAATTTTCTCTGTGAGCTTCCTAGTAGCCAATCCCAAGTGGGAAACAGTTTATAGGGCTTCTTGGGGGGGGGGACCCCAAATAACTCCAGGAGAAATGAGAAGCTCCTGGACTTGAGATCCGAGTGGCACAGTGAATGATGTCTTGAATGTGTGGATGGCAGTGACAACAGTTGTTTTATGTAGGTAGGAAACTTGGGTGGTTATTTAATATAAAGACTTGGTTTCCTATGGGTGAATACTTCCTATGTAGAAGCTAGCCAGGAGAGGAGCTCCTGTAAGTGATTATGGACTGTGTATTGGGACTCCTTCCCCGCCCCCCCGCCCCTCCCCAGGGTCGCCTGTATGCTGACTATAGAAAACCAGATATCTTAGTAAACTTGAGGATTTCCATGTCAGTGTGGACCCAAGTGACACTCGGTCTGCTGTCTGATCCGCTGTTGATGGGCAGCTGTAACTGGGAATATGTCATTGTTCAGAACAGATGTGGTCCAGCAGCAGGGACCTTGAAGCACTTAGAAAACCACAAGCCTGCTTTTTCCAGGCGGCTGAGGGTTCACCAAAGAGACAACTCCACACATATTCCATCCTGTCCTTCTGTTTTGTGTGGCTAATGAGAGTGAGCAGCTGAGCCCATTGGATAACTTGAGTTGTATAGGAATTATTTTTGAAAGGGAAAGGGAACTTGTGTAGACAAGTCGCTATAAATAGCCCGTAACCCAGATTGGTGGTTGGTGAGAGGGCAGCGAATAGGAGAGATCCCCGGACTAATGTGGATGTGCTTTCTTCCTAGGTGAACTGCGACAAGCCATCGTGGCCATGATGAACCGGAAGGATGAGCTGGAGGAAGAGAACAGGTATCCTGACCTCCAGGCTCAAGGCAGGGCCTCATCCTTCGACATTCTACCTCCAGGACAGAAAATATCACAGATGAAAAAATTCTGCTTTATTGGCAAAATTGTGACCCTTGATTTTGTATTTCTTTTTTGGTCTGTGAATTACCACTTTTAAAAAAAATGTATATATATATATATATATATATAGAGAGAGAGAGAGAGAGAGAGAGAGAGAGAGAGAGAGAGAGAGAGAAGTCTGAGTGAGCAAGAAATGAAAACCTTACATTCATGGCACTACCTTAGAATAAGCTTAAGATTTGGTAAAGCAATCTTTTTAAAACTAAAAAACAGCCTTATTGAGATAGAATTCACATATCATACAATTCACCCATGTAAAGCGTACAGCTCAATGGTTTTAGTATGTTCACAGCTATATGAATCGCCACTAAAATTTAGACCATTTTCATCATGTAAAAAGAACCCCATGTACCCTCTAACAGTCACCCTCAGACCCAGTGAAGCAACCTTTTGAGTAACCTTTAATTGAGGGCCTGTCTGCCATGTTCCAGGCACTTGGAATACTTGGCTTAAAGTTTTTTCCACTAACAGGTACTTTGGCAAGATGGTACTTGAATTCTTTTGACTTTCTCAAAAGCTCAGGTGCAGACATTGAGAGGGCAAAGGGCTGTCTTTTGTTCCCTGTTGAAACCAGTGCTAGATACTAGGCAGGTATCGTCTGTGTCGCTACCACCTGGCTGCCCGATGGGAGCCTCTTGACTGCCAGCACCTTGTCTAGGCTGCAAGGTGGTCAGGAGAGGGATTTGCCTGCCTCCCTGGGGGTTGGGGTGGGTCTGGTGCCTGTATGTGTGCATGTGCGCGTGTGAGTGTGTGCTCATGTCACTCTCTTATTCTTTACTCAGAGCAGGAATTAAGAGTCCGTGGTGACATATCATCATGATTCTCCTTTTTAAATCTTATTTTGGGCCCTGCTTGACAAGCTTCTCCCTCATCCTTTATGAAAGCATACAAAAGCAAACAAGCATGATTTCTAAAACAAAAGAGAATTTTTAAAAACAGGATCTTTAGACAGCACGATTTCCCTATGAAAACTTTCAACAAAGGGGCTGTAGACATTGCAGGGTTTCTCCTTGCTCCAGCTGGAGCTGTTATGGAAGAAGCCATAGGTTTATGTCTTACCTTGTGAGAAACAGTAATCACTGTGTGTTAATTTCTTCTCCTTCTCCTCCCATGATTTGTGTCAGAGTCCCAGGCCCAGGAGGGGAATTTTCTCACCGGTCTTGGAGAGTGTGGTGAACAGTGGGGGTGGGAGGTCAGACACTTTTGTTTATATTTCGATGTCCTAGGGCAAATGTCGTCTAGATTTTGGAGGGAGATGCATCAGAGTCAGTAAATACTTCCTAGAAATAGCCATTTGAGGTCAGTGAAGTAGACGGTCAGCAGACCCAGGCTTGGCTCACTCCGAGGTGCTAACTTACAGTCATTTCTGGGTGAGCCGCTGTCTAAGACCAAGGATGGCAGATTCACAAGTGCCCGTGTTTTGGAGGATTAACAAACTCCAGACATAAATAAAATATGACACGTGCAAACTCTATAGCTCTATAAACCCTCTATATGCTTGTTTAACCTGGAGGCTGCAGGGGTCAGGGTTAAAGTGTGTTTTGTGAGTAGGAGTGAAAATGAGGATGGACATCTGTCAGGTAATCTGAGCCTGTGCTCTATTTTGATGGCTCAGATTATTTTGGTTTGAACTGGCATCCTTTCCTTTGTTAACTCTCTTCTTCAGGTGGCTGGGACATAGTGGCCTCCGTTGAATGTGCTGCACCTTTGGCTGGGATGTCTGAAGGGGCTTGCCTGAGATTCGCTCAACTCACTGTTTCTCTTGATTTCAGCTGCCCACAGGCTATCCGGACACAGAGCCTAGACCACAGATGGTTCCCCTGGGGTCATCCTAATGATTGAGGCTTTTGAGCAGAGTTTGGTATCTCCTTAAAGGAATTTGTAATGAGATAGACTAGAATTATGGCTTATGCATAGCCTTGTGGAAAATGAATGATTAGGTCTTGACCAAATGTCTGTGTCCTGGGCTCGATGGGCTCTGGGTTCACAGCATCTGAACGGATGGGCCCTCCTCTTTCAGATCACTGCGGAGCCTGCTGGACGGTGAGATGGAGCACTCGGCTGTCCTCCGGCAAGAGGTCGACACCTTGAAGAAGAAGGTGGCTGAGCAGGAGGAGCGGCACGTCATGAAGATCCAGGCCTTGGCAAGGTAGGAGGGCAGAGACACCGGGGGTGGGCCTGGGAGGCTTACTGAAGCGCAAGCACACCTTTACCAACACAGTTTAATTAAAAAGTGTTGTGACCAGTAGCCATAAAATGTATGCATTTGAAATTTTAATATTTTATTGAATACATGTTGAATAATATGTACACACGTGATTCAGAATGCAAAGCGTATAACTGGTTACAGTGTGCAATCTCCAGTGACCACGTTTGCCCAGGGGATGGGCGATGTTACTGTTTCCAGAGCTGTCCATGCATGCGCACGTCTCTGGATGTATGTACCTGCTTTTCATTTCCCTCCCGCCTCCCTTCCTCCTTTCCTCCCTTAATGCACCGTGGTGGCGTGTCTAACACACACTCACTCTACATCATGGAGACGGTTCTGTGTTGTGCACAGGCTGCCATCTTTAGTAACTCATATGTCATTGTCTGACTGCACCAGCATTCATTTGACCAGTATGCCAACAGCCAGCTTTAATGTGGTTTCAAGTCTTTTTTTTTTGTTGTTTCCAGTCTTTTGCTACTTCTAATGCTGCTTCAAGTAACCTTTGTGTTTATTATTTTGCTCCTCCATGACTATATTTGTTGGAAAATTTATGGAAGTAGAATAGCAGGATCAGAGTTCTGTGCTTTTCTCAGGGGAGAGATCCTCAACTTGCCCTCCATGGAGGCTCAGCCAGCTTACGTTCCACAGCAGCAGGGAGAGGGCGTGACTGAGCAGCCCACAGGGCTCGGCTCCAGCCTCTGGGCCTTTGATAGCACTGCAGGTGAAACATGGCGCTGGCGGACTATTTTTCATTTGCATTTCCCTAATTAAGAGTATGGCTGAGCCTGTTCTTATTTAAGAGCCATTTTGTTTTTCTATGACTTTATTTATATCTTATTAAGAAAACTATACAGGGAACCTCCCAAAATCCCAGCTCCCATAAAACCATGCATCTCTACGGAATTTGTTCACATGGAAAGATATTTTTATGGATGTTTTTAACATCTATAGCCTGTCATGCTTAGTTTGCCTCTCTCCCCCACTGAAGCTTCAGGTTAACTGTTCCTGATGTAGCATTTCACTGAATTAATGTCATATTAAATAAGCATTTGCTAGACATTTGAGTGGTTCCAGTTTCCCCCCCCATTTTAGGTAAGATAAACAATTTATTGGTTGTGAATGTAAAACTACTTTAAAATAAGACCAGGAGATAAGTATGTCTTGTGGACATGCGAGGGAGTCGGGAGTTAAGTAAACTTGCAGCAGCAGCATTTATCGTCCCTGTGCTGTCAGGGCGAGTGGCACTAATGTAATTGTTATGTATGTGGAATCGAAAGTTGGCACCCTGGTCCCATATTTAACTTTAATTTGAACTTTTCTCCTTTCTCTACATTTTAAAATGACACCTCAAGAGCATCAGAGACAGTTAAATGACTACGGCAAATGCCTAATTTGGCATTTTGTCAGCTGGGCCACCATTTCATCTGGCCCTGCAGGATTCTGTGGTGGAATGGTGTTTGCTCACAGTACAGGCTGCAGTCTGTAGAGAGTGGTTTTGATTCATCAGAGAAAGGCAGACTTATATTCCCTGCCACTTTGGATTTTGTTCAGAGTCAGCTCCATTGTGTGAAGATGGCAAGTTTCTGGGTGAACTGCTTAACCTTCACAAGTGTGCACTTCCCCATTTATAACTTGGCGAGGCTAAGCTACCCACATGGGAGGACCTCGTGTGGAAGTACATAAGGTTCTGAACACCAGCGAGCTGTTGCGAGCGTATTTTACAGGAAGTGTATGTTAGCCTGTGATAATCCTTAGGAAAATTTTCCCCAGCAATGGAGTAGAAACATTTTTCTTAACTAAGCAGTGTTATGACCTGACGTCTCCTCATTTAAACAATGGGGAGCCAAGAGTTTAAGGTACCTGAAGGTTCACAGTTTGCAGGTAGAAGGAACATTTGTAAAATAGGCAGATACTTCAGGAAAAAAAAAAAAAAGGAAAAAAAGCAAACAGGGAGGCTGGATGTGTATGTTTTGAAAAATCCAGCTGCTGACATGTTCCAGGCACAGTTCACATGTCAAGCTTTCTTCTTGCTACAGAAGGAGCAGCTGTCAGTGTTCTCAGGTGGGGGCCGGGTGGGGCATTGAGGCTGGGCCAGGGCTGTGTGAGCACTGGGGCACCCTGTTCTCAGGTCACATGTGTTCAGGTGGCAGGTATCATAATGCCAGTGGTTTAGCCTAGTGGTTGGTGGCGAGGATTCTGGCATTGGACTGTGGGGGTCTGATTATGGCTCTAATGCTGATTAGTTGTATGACCTTGAGCAAGTTACTTAATGTCTCTATTTCCTTAGTTCTAAATTGAGGATAAGAAAACTCTCCACTTCCTAGGGTTGTTGCACAATAAAATGAGAGACCATATGTCAGTTCAATAAATGTGCTTCATAAATGCTCAATAAATGTTAACTATCATTATCATTTTTCTTCAGTATGGTAATTATATTACTAAGAAACCCTGCCACATTAAAAGTTATATTTTAACAGCAGTGGTGCAGAAAGAATTAAGTACTAGGCTATTTCAGACATAAAAAAATGAAATAACTTATATTCTAAGAGTGTGTTTGTGTGTATGAGTGTTTTACTGGTTCTGAATCTATGCTAATTGTAAAACTAAAACATCCCTGAACAAATTCATCATTTTATTACACATCTCTTTTCGCTCAGAATTAACACCTTTCCTTTCGTGCTGTCATGGCTCAACCATGATTGGGGCAATATAACCAGCCAGTGCTTGTGTGTCCCAAGCAGCTGCTGGTTTCTGAGGCAGTGGCGTTACAATCGGTGGCAGCTCAGGGTGGGTAAGCCTTGCTTCTTGAGTAATCGATGGCCATGTTTCCCACTGAATGAAGAGAACTCAGGCTATGAGTCAGGTGATCACAGAGAGAAGGCACACGTTGACATGAGAGGTACCTTTGAGAGAAGCCAGTGAATGGGGTTGTGCATTACTGCAGAGACATTTTTTCTTTCTGTTTATTGTTATCAGTTATTTCTTGCTGTGAAACAAAATATCTCTAAACATGCACCTTAAAACAACAAACATATATGATCCTCCAGGATTTCTGTGAGTTGGGAATCTGGGATGGCTCAGCTGGGTGGTCCTGGCTCTAAGTTCCTCACAAAGTTGCAGTCAAGCTGTTGGCTAGAGCTGTAGTCACCTGCAAACTTGGCTGGGGCTGGACGGGCCACTTTTAAATTTTTATTCTTCTTAATCTTCAGCCGAGGAGTGAGGATATTTTTTTCATTGATTTTCAGAGAGTGGAAAGGAGGGAGGAAAGGGAGAGAGTGAGAGAGGAGAGAGAAGCATCGATATGAGGGAGACATCTAAACAAATGAGAGGAGACCAATAACAAACTGGCTCAAGTTACAAAAGGAATTTATTGGCTCACATAACTGAAAAGCCCAGAGGAAAAATAGCTTCAGGAAAGACTGGATCTATTGGTTGCCTTGGAATCGAACCCGTGACACTCTGGTGCTAGGCAGACACTATTAACCACTGAGCAATGCCAGTTAGGGCTGGAGGGGCCACTTTTAAGCTCACTCGTGTGGCTGTTGCCAGGAGCTCAGCTCCCTGCCTTGTAGGCTTTCTCCACGTGGCTGATCACAACACAGCAGCTGGCTTCTTGGGTAACTCGAGCTAGAGAATACACCTGACATGGTAGCCACTGTTTCCTTTATAACCTGGTCTTGGAAATGAGACACGATTACTTCTGCTGCATTCCATTGTCACACAGATCAACCTTGTTCATGTGGGAGAGTCTACACATGAGTGTGCATGCCAAGAGGTGAGGGGTGGGGTGGGGGTCATTGGGTGCCATCTTGGAGGTTACCTACCACATCCACCATGCTTTTGTTTCGCCTTGGGACAGACACTACCCCAATCTCTCCTGGCCGGTTCTTCCTCATCCCCATTCTGCACATGTAGTTTGGTGCAACTGACTCTACCACTGCCTGCCCCGGGTTCCAGAGCAGGCCAGATGATCCAGGCCCGGACGGTCAGCTTGTCCCATCCCTTGGCCATCATGATCGAGTTAAAGAAGGGCCTGCGGCCAGGCTGATCCAATGAGCCGATTACAGCATTCTTGAGGGGATATGGAGTAAGCCAGGAGCTGTTGGCAGCTGTCTGCTACTGTGTGGGAAGATGCTGACCTCCCCATGGTGAAAACACAGTGGAGAAATAGAGGGATAGATGGAGAGAGAAACCCACAGGTCCTGATTTGAGCTCCTGGATCCAGTCGTTCCTGAAGCTATTTTTCCCTCTGGACTTGGCAGTTATGTGAGCCAATAAGTTCCTTTTGTAACTTGAACCAGTTCATCACTGGTCTCCTCTCTTTTGTATCCGGAGTCCTGACTAACGAGACTTCCTAGTTGGGATGTTAGGGGATTGGAGCGAGTGGTGTTTTCTCTGTGCTCCCTCAACAGTCAACCTGCCACCTTCCCAGAGAGACTTGCAGTTTGTTGTGACTCATCACGGATGTGAACACCCCCCTGGATTGTGTGACAGAGCCCTGCTCAAGGCCTTTCCTTCCTGTCTCTCACGTTGGGACCAGCCTTACTGTCATTCTTTGTCACACTGGTGCACTAGCAAGAACATGTTGTCAGTTATGTGACCAGAGCTATTCGCTTTCCCCGTCTGAGCCTCTGGGTCTTTGTCTGTTTAAAAATATAAGAGGAAGTGGGTGGCATGGCCCATTCCAAACTTCATGTAAGGATGCTGTGCACCTGTGTCCTGACATAATAGTCTTAACTAATATTAATACGCTTTTGGCAGTAGAAACCCAAACCAGTTTAGCTTAGGTCAGCAGGGGAATTTTGTGTTGCTGTAACTAACTGATCTCTCTTCAGGTGTCGCTGGACCCAGATGCTCTGTGAGGTCTTGGTCTCCTTCCCCCCCTCTAGGTATTGGCCCTCTAGGTATTGTCTCCTTCTTGGGTGGGGCCTCTGCACACA